AAAGTTTTGTATGTATGTCCATATAGTATCGATATTGTTTGATTTCACTTTGGCCAGGTAGGTGACCTTGCAGAACTTCCGTACCTGTCCATTCAATGTGGCCTGGTAGAAGAAGGGAACGCTTGTAGCTGCTGACAACCAGGAAAGCCTCAACTCTGGCTGGCCACAAGTACTATTTTCAGTGTGACATCCTCAGCAAAGGGAGATGGTGATTCTTGCCAAGTACAGAAAAGGTTTACCAAACTTTACCCAACAACAAAATGAATTTGTATCCATTTTCTAGTTGTCTCACAAATATGAAGTAGATAGTCAACTCTAAGAACTATGCTTTTATTTTGCATTACTTATTTATTTTTCATGAATACATGTTTGCAGCACATCAAGATTACATATATCATGGGGAGTAAGTACATATACATAACACGTCTCCATTCTTTTTCCTTTTTTTTTTTGTCCCTTTGATCCTCAGTGCCCCCGTCTCTCCCTGCTTCCGCCAACTCTTGGGTCCCCCTCCCATTTACAAAGTTCTATCGCCATTTTCTTCTTCACTTCTTCTTTTCCCTCCCCTTCCTTTCCCTGTCTCCCCATCTAGCCAACTCTTGATCCTCTTCCCATTTAAGAAAGATCTCCCTACTTCCTATGGTTCATGTATTCTTTTTACACTTTGAGTTTCTCATATAAGAAAATCCATGAAATATTTAAGTGTCTGATTCATTTCACTTCACACTGTGGTCTCAAGGTGCATCCCTTTACCTATGAATGCTTCAAGTTTATTGTACATAAACACCACATTTTCTTTACCCACTCATATGTTGATGGGAATAGAGGAAATTTCCAAGATTTAACTACTATATATCATGCTGCTTTAAACATGATTAAAATAGACTCTTCTCAAAAGAACAAATGGCTAAGAAAAACATGGAAAATTGCTTAACATTGTTGGCCATTAGTGATATGCAAATTAAGACAATACTGAGACATCAGCTCACTCCAGAACGAGTGGCTATACTCAAGAAATCAAATAAAAACAAATGCTGGTGAGGCTGTGGTGGTAAAGGAACCCTTCTGCATGTACAGCAGGATAATCATTATGAAAATCACTATAAAGCTTTCTCAAAAAACTAAAACGAGAAATTACATTCAACCCACCTATTGCCTTTTAAATGTTGACTTTTTAAAGGTAGGACTTTTGAAAATTTTCAGATTTGTGAATATCAGGAGAGCATACGATTTACTTTAATAAGATACATTTGCATATGAATAAAAATTAAGCACTTGTTGAATAAACAGAGGACTAAAAATAGCTACAAAGCTGTGAAAGTGAATCCTCTCAGAAAATCAAAAGCAGTATAAATATTTCTGTCTCTTTCCCTTCTCTGTTACATAGCCACACACACACACACACACACACACACACACACACACACTTTCATGAAGAGCCTATCTCAGTATCAAATGGAACAATTCACTTCTGAATTTCGCCAAGTTCATTCTCTTTTTATTTTGCTACAATTTTCTCAGATTCATAGCTTTTATCTCTTATTTCTTTTCTTTTCTGTTCCCAGAATTAATAGTCTGCTTTCTTTTCACTTGCTTTGCTCATGTACACAAGTTTTATCACTACAGCATTTTTTCATATAGGATGGACACTAGAAAACTGTTGACGAAAAGGCATTAATTAGTCAGCAAGTCTCTGTTCTTATTTGTAATTATATTTTTTCATTAAGTTTATTGGTACATTTTAGGTATACAATATGATGGTACTCATTATTGGGAATTTGTACCTTTATATGATGTATCTTTGTTCTTTTCTCTCCCCCATTCCCCTGCCTTCCCTTCAACCCCTCTACCCCTCCCTGGTTGTTGAGGGTTAAATTCAAAAATATGTCTTAGCAAAATAAATGTGTCATGGTTTTTCAAATATTCTAAAAAATTTTGTGTCAAATCTTCCAATGTAAAAAAAAAAGTAATCTGAATTTTTTTTTAAAGGTAACACATTACCTATGCAAGAAAGCTGAAATACTGTCTCTTGCATTGCCTGGAGATTCAGCTGTTGTTGCTAAGATAAAGCTATGTTTATAAAGAAAAATCAGAAATGCTTCTTTGTTGTATTCGCTACTGAATTCACTAATGAGTAATTGAATAAAGCGTCCTCCGGGGTGAAATGAAAGAACATTCCATATGCCAATGTGTTTATCTTGCCAGTCCACCTCTGGTCACACTCTGCCCTTCTCTTTCTACATATCTGGTTTTTATGCAGGTCAAATTACGTCCTATTTTATTATATCTTTACTCTGGCTGGAGGCCGTCCTCTCAAGGATCCGGCTGTCACTATCTAGCTCCCCTTTGGCACTGCCCCTTCAGACGCAGTACAATAGGCAATTTTTGACTGATCTTAGTCACAAAGGATAAAACATCTACATTCGTTGTATCTACATCACAAAGAAACCACCTTTTTCATTCACATGTGGATACAAAACTGCCAAAAGAGTTTCACAGTATTCCTTGCTTGATGCAGATGTCAAACAAAGGACAAGGAAAGGACAGTAATTTAACTTATACTGAAGCAGTTGATCTTAAATCAAACAGAAAAAAATTTTCCATCTGATTTTTATTCATTTTGAGTGTTTTATATTCTAGAAATATCAATACCCCTGCTTCCTGGAGTTTATAGCCACCATATAAAGCATATATGTATTGCAAAAGCAGTTAATGATTTGCAAAACAACCCATCAAAGCCTTTTTATTAGACGATGTCTAGTATTCAACCCATTTATAAACATAGCATTCATTTTTGCTTATTTTAACATAGAAGCCACAGTAATGTTTTATATGTGTGTATATGTGTGAGTGTGTGCTCAAAGGCAGGATCCATACCTCTAACAGCAAAAATGGTTACTATGCATTACTTAGTCAGTGAATTGGGAAATTATTAAGCATTAATAAAAGTTTTCAGGTCTTCAGCGGATCATTCTTGTAAGTATTGTTTTCTTAATTTGCAACATGCAGAAATAGTACTTGGGGAACTTCATTCTATAATCCCAAGGGACTGAACCTCAGCATAGAGCACAAATTGGAATCTAGGTCTATTTCAATGCAAAGTCAATTGCCCTTCTCTTTTTTCATATAATGTCAATCACCCTTTGTATCATTTCTGGAGCCCCCAAAATGTGTCACATGTCTCATTTGTCACAACTTCCAAAATCCAAACAATTCAGTCCTTTGTCTCCTTCCCCTGCCCATCACAAAACTAAGGTTTTGCCCAACAGATTGCCTATTGGCCGGACTCAAAGCTTGAGCCGTTCTCCATCTTGGAGAAGACCACAGATTCCTACATTCTAGATAGATCTTGATCAACCCCCAGCCCCCCATCAGCTCAGGGTCACATTGCCAGGGCATCCTGGTCCCCTTACAGTGACAGCAGAGTCGAAAGCACTTTCTCATGACATAAATGTGGTACTGTTCGCTGTAGAGTGCTTTTCAAAGAAACATTACAGGAACGAGAGGAAAGGACCCCACCAACTCTGCACAATCTTCTTCTTCCTTCTCCATTTCTCCCCTAATTTTGTATACGGGGTGTTTCATCGGCATCTCTTTTGTGCTAGTGGCGATAAGCACAGAACACAGAACAATAAAGGTGAAAACTAGGTCTGTGCAAGCCGAGCAGACGTCCATTCTCAGATCCTACTTCCAGCACACAACTCATTTGCTAGGGCTACTGGGACAGAAAAGTCCCAGAGCGGGCGGCCTTAACGTACAGAAGTGTATTTTCTCGCACTTCCAAGAGCTGGAGGAACAACAGCAAGGTTGCAGCAGGCTGTGGGTTTCTCCTGAGGGATCACTTCTTGACTTGCAGTTGAGCACCTACTGCCTGTGTCTTCACATGGCCTTTCCTTTATGTGTGTATCCTTGCAGTCTCTGTCTTATGAGATCGCTGTTCTTACTGCGTTAGGGCTCCACCCTTACGACCTTGACCTTACTTAGGACCTCGTTGGGAGGCTCTGTCTCCATACATTGTCACTTGGGTTAGGCTTTCAGCACAGGAATCTGAGGGGAACACAATTCAGACACTTCAATCAGAGGTTCAAATCCCAAGCCTTCTGGTTCCTGGTTGTCTCAACACTGATTGCTTTTCTTAACCACTGCATTTTATTCCCTATCCTGCAAAAATAGAGACAAAAAGAGTACTTGCCTCCTATGGTGTTTTTGTTTGTTTGTTTGTTTTGGTACCGGGGATCGAACTCGGATCCCTCGGGTCCTTGCTTGCAAGGCAGGCCACCGAACTGCTGAGCTAAATCCCCAGCCCGCCTCCTATGGTTTTTGAATACCCATTTTGTTGGCAAGCTGAAAGGAGAATTGCCTACTAGTGGTAGACGACTATTTAAAATAATGATTTTACTTTTCTTTCTTCTCTCCATATAGCAATATATGAATTGTGAAAAATAAAATATAAAAGAAAAGACGGGGGAAATAAGATATTTTGAGAAGCATTACTGTACACTAGTTTTTCTTAATTATAATAACGTGTATTATATAATTCATTGTGTGGAAAGAACCAACAGAGAGAAAAACACTTTAGATTCCTAAATGTGTAGATTCCTAATTCATTCTTTCCATAAACCTTCACGCAGCACTAGTCACATGGCAGAAAATAGGCCGGCGCTTGGAGACAGCAGAGAGCAAAACTTGCCATTCTTGGGAAGCTTACCTTCTAGAAGGGGCACCTGTCACCTCTGCTTATTTCAGAAATTGGGTGAAATCAGACACTTCACAGAGGAAAAACACTTGCTTACATCAAACAACACAGTAATGCTAGTTACCCTATGACCCCCCAAAGTCCCAGAAGCAATACTAACTCTGAGGTCTGTGCAGTTGGCCACCTTGGAGCCCTCCCCACCCCTGCGGTGCGGTCTGGGTTCTCTGGTCCTGAACCCCCTCCCCTGCGGACCGGAGGAGGGACCTCGGGCCGCTGGGCCGGGCCAGGTCCTGTCTCCGCGCCACCGCCAGGGTCCCGGTGCGGAGGTCGCCCCGAAGGCGTGCGAGTAACTCTGGCTTTGGCTGGGTGTCCCCGGCCCACGTCACCTGTTTGACAGCCTCACACCAAATCAGAGGGCAGCTCTGGCCGGGAGCCCCCGCTCGTCACCCGAGCTCCCGCGGATTAGAACTCGCCTCTCCTGACTCCTCCCTGCGGTCCCATTTAAATCTCCCTCTGCCTTTGGGGATAAGTTAGCGCGCGCCTCCGTTTCTGCATTGCTGACTTTCACCGCAAGATGGTAAGTGCGGACTTGGCGTCAGCAAGCCCTCTGGCAAAATGCGGGCGCTCTGAATCTTTGCCTTGGGAACTCGTACCTCCAGGGAAGCAAGACAGCTTGGCTACCTGTCAGTGAAAACGGGTCTGCTCCGCGGCTCCCTCCCTTCCTCTCCACTCCCTCCCACGCCATCTCCTTCTCTTCCTCCTTCTCTCTGTTATTTCTCTATCGTTTCTACTCTATTTTCTCCCTAACTTCCCTCTGCACCTGCACTCGCTTTTCATCCCACCTTTTCCTCCTCTAGTTGATGCATATATTTGCAAACACTTGGACTCGAGCTACTTTCAAGTTTGTTTTTCTCTCAGGTGTCAATTGCATCATAGCTTAGCGCTGATTCCAATAATAACCTCAGGGGAGGAGTTTGCAAACACGCTTTTAGAATAAAAGAAAATAGCACTTGAGAAAGGTTTGGCTGGATTTCTTGAGAGTCTGCACGGCCCTAGCTTTGCTTGCTTCAGAGCTGAATTTTTTTCTGAACTTAAGTCTGAGAACACTAACAAAATGTGACTTCTCAATCCTTTGCTCTTATTATTATTTGTTCCCTCTCTATTTATGTTATGCCCAAGAAAGTTCTCAAGTCAACAGAAGTCTTCTAAGTGATTTTTTTTAAAAAAGTATCTGTTCAATCCTGAATTAAATGGGTTTTACCTGATTAAACATTGACAAATAATTAGGAAAGGGATGTTGTACAAATGAACTCTGGAAGGCTGATCCCTGCCCCTTTCTGGAAAACTGGAAAGATTCTATGTTTGGGGTGGGAGGAGTGGAGGGCAAGAGGGCATTCACTCGGTCAGAAACCAGTGGAAAATGCACACTGGACATTTAGTGGTGACAGGATAACTGTGCAATGGCATCAAGTCCAGGCAATAACTAGAACTAGTGCTTCTGCTCTGTGAGGTTTAACTTCTTTATGCTTTGATTAGATGTTTACTTGAAGTTTACTTGATACTATGCTCCTGTGGTTAGAATGGAAGGAAATTTTATTTATAATTGTGGGATATTTATATACATATATACAGACACTCAGATGCATATGTAAGCATTGGAATAGATAGATTTGCATTTGTATCACCATATGATCACCAACAGCATGTTAGATGGGAAGGAAAAGATATAAAGGAATAAGGCAACTGTGTAACTCAGTAGTCAAACTAAACAGCTGCTTTATAAGATGTTGTGTCCCGTCCATTTTGTCCTTTGAAGTCTGGATTCTTTGTCAATTACGATATTTGCCAGAGAGAACCCAATAGCTCTTATATCTTTGCATCATCAGTTAGACCTTCTTCTGCTCGCTGAGCAGCATGCTAGATGAGCTAGACATTGCAACTGGAAATTCCTGGTGTCTACACATTTGATCTATCCAAAACTTGTGTGCTCTTTGCTCAGAAGGCCCAAGGAAAGTACTGGATAAGACAAGGAGCTGAGTCCTTTTTAGCCAGTACAATTGGACAATTTAAATGTGATCTGCATCTATACCTAACACCTCACTACTCTTTGGTTCACTGCATATAATTTTTGTGTGTTCTCCCCACTCCTTTCCCCCTCAAACTCCCATCACCTCATCTCCTGGGACCCCTCCTTCCACTCCTTATACGGAATTCCACAGAACACCATTCTACCTTGCCAAGACCAGTATTTTTCAGGAGGCCAAAATTATAATTGCCCGTTATCCACCGCGACGTCAGAACCTAGTGTTGACGTTTCCACGGAGACTTGGGTCTCTTTCTGGGCTGCTGGTCTCCTGGACAACAGTGAGCCCCAACAAGCACCACAGGCACAGGGTAAGTTCTGCTTCTCTGCTTTCCTGATAGACCTAGAGCCCTTTTCTAGAGCCATGGCTGCAAAGCATCATGGGCTGGGACTCTGTAGAAGAGGGATGTTAGAGCAAATTTAAGACCTCATATCCTTTCTGTTTCAATCATAAAACTTAGTAATTTTTAGGTGCCAAGGAGTGAAAATAGGATTATTGCTTTTACTTGCTGCACAATATGTATTTCTCCCTACACTTTATAGTTTTTAAAGATTCTCAACTTATTGAGAGAGTTTGATCTGGTTTAAAGTTTTATGAAGAACATTCTAGTAAGATGTATTTGGAGTCCAGATGTCAGTTGGAAAATTGCTTTTGGAATTCAGCAAAGCTTCCTTGAGTGTAGAAGAAGAGCAAGAGTGAATAATTTGATTTTATGGAAGTAATTATTCCCTTTTATACACAAAATGGACTTTAGCTGAAGAAAAGTATAAAGAAAATTACATGCATTAATTTTGAACCTGGAGCTTGGTGGGTGATCCTTATAAATATTAAGGGAATTACTGTACTGCATTTAATTTTCTGTAAAATAAAACTCACAAATACCTCAGAATTAAATATCTGCACTATTACCCAGTATGCCACATGATTTGGGGAAAAAGATTAAGAAAAACACAAACAAAAACTCAAAAATTTTGAAATACCTTTATATGTCAGGGAGAACATATGTTGAGTCTTATATGTTTATATGTTCACTTTAATGCTATACTATGAACAACAATGAAAACAGGATGTTCAGTGAAATGAAATCAACTCTTTATACAACTTTGTTCCTGTTTCTCATCATTTCACTTACGAAAAAAAATACTTCAGTGATAGTGATTTCAGTAGAGCAGGACAAAAGTTAGAATGATAGTAAATGAATAGAAAATGTAATTATGTTAGCACGCCCCCCCCAATTTTTTATTGATAAGTATACTTGGCTGTCACATATAGGGAAAAAACACTCTGAAACCTTATAAAAATGTGCAGACAAAAACAGTTGCAACATAAAAGGTGTAGATGCAGTCTTGCAATGTTCATCAAGGTCCTCAGAGACACAAGGTGCACACTATTTTAAAGTAGAAAGTGCTACCACATAGAATTCTGAATAAATAAGGTCCACTCAATTTAACAGGCCTGTAGGCAGAAAGAAAAACAGTAGCATCCCACGACAGGATTAATTATGAAGCCAAACCCTCTTTTATGAAGCATTACATCTTTAGAAAAATAGAGTAGAAATTAGAAAAAAATATGTTGGAATCAAAATATTTTACTTCGCAGAATGGTAGAGACAAAAAATATTTGAATGGGTTAGTGATACCGATGCAACAATTTTATTAATTAAGCCAGCAGGACCATGAGTAGCAACGAAGAATGTGCCAAGTTACCTCCTAAAAAATTCACCTCTTGGCCAGGGATTTAGCTCAGTGGTTCCACTGCTTGCCTTGCAAATGCAAGGACCCGAGTTAGATCCCTGGTACAAACAAAGAAACAAACAAATAAATAAATAATTCGCCTCTTTAACCAGGCTGACGACAGTGCGTACATATCTTCCTGTCAGCCCTTGCTTGCTCCTCTCTTCTGAAAGCTTTAAATGTTTTATTTTCCTATGTGGAAAAAATAGCTATTTCAAGAAAGATAATTGCACCTATTAGACTTTGGAAATTGTCTGATGAATTTGTTGTACACAGACAGAGAGTGTGTTTCCTCTGCTGCTCAACTTTTGTTTCCACATAGAACCAGCCTGTGACTTGAATTTTCCTGTTCCGGATTCCTGTTCGTGGGAAGAAGCACAGCTCTCCTCGCAGCTCTACCGAAACAAGCAGGTATGTACTCAAGAGAGACTGTTCTCTGCTGTGTCTTCTTTTCACTTCATGTTGGTATCACAAAGGGCTGATGTGAAGACCGAATGATATCCTGAGGGTCATAGTACTTTTACATGATGAACATAAGAAATCACTGCAGGAAGGGATGGTGAGTGTAAAAGTGATTTTGAGGATTACTTCATGTTTTGTGTGTTTTGTTTGTCGTGGCTCCTGAAGCGTAATTTAATATAGCGGACATGTAGGCAGCCACATCTTTTTTTAAATTTTTCTTAAATATGTATGGAAGGATTCCAACCAAACCCTTCTGGACAGCATTTTCTATATTTAAACAGTTGCATTCAGCTCATTTCTCTTCATACCTACCTGACTCCCTTGTGGTTTCAACTTTAGAAGTCATTTAATCTCTTCAAACACTTTGTAATGAATGAAAAAATTCAGAGCACAAAACTGAACAGTCATGTGGTAGAAGGGGTGTAGACTTCGTTTGGGTCTCTGTGAAAGAGGACTCCCTGAAATTCTTTTCAGAAAACAAGCAGAACAATCAAATTTAAGCAAGTTGAGGGGCAGTGGCTTTGTGATCAGCTTACTGAGTCAACTGAGTGCCGCGGCCCTCACCACTGTCTGCTTTTTACAGCTCCAAGATACTCTCATACAGAAGGAAGAAGAACTTGCTAGGCTACACGAAGAGAATAATCACCTCAGACAATATCTGAATTCTACTTTGGTTAAATGCCTTGAAGAAAAGGCCAAGGTGCGTAACAACCTCTTTTATAAGGTCAAGGCAGAGATGTGAGAAAGGAAGCCATTTACAAAAAACTCTCTCATTAAATATAAGAAGTGCCCTAAGCAGTGTGTCTTGATGTACCTTAGTAAATGGATCATTTTTTTTTCTTAAGGAAACATGTGATGTTCACAAGAGACTGTATGTATCATTTCTTGGAAGTATCTAGATTGTACCAATTAGCCAGGCACTGTAGAAGGAGTTCTACAAGAAGCAAAAGCTAATCCACAGTAGTATTGAGTCAAAAGACATTAATCACAAGGAGAGTTAGATACCTGGAATACCGATGTAGAAATAGATATGAAAACAAGTCAGCTGTTTTAGTCGTCTATCTGGCTTTAGATAAATCATTCTCACTGAGGGGCTCCATTAACTTTGTGTCTCAATGCATGGGCCAAAAGATACCATATGAATCTTCCTTAGTCTAAAAGGCTATGAATCTGACAAGTGCTCAGGTACAATGACTATGTTGACTGGCAGCTAGGTATATGCTGTTATATCACCTATCATTCCTACTTTCCCTAAGCTTTAAATGAGTTTTTTTCTAACATGAGGATGCATAGCTCAACTATGGTCTTCTTTTGCTCTTTCTCTTTTATTTGTTTTGTAAACTTTCTGTGTGTGTGTGTGTGTGTGTATGTGTGTGTGTGTGTGTGTGTGTGGTGTGTTATTGGGGAAGAAATGAAACCCAGGACCTTTTGCACAGAGCTGTATTCACAGCTCTTTTTGATTATTTTCTTTTTGAGACAGTCTAGCAGAATGAAAACATTACTCAATCTGGGATAAAACTTGTAATACTTATACTTCATCCTCCCAGAATTTTGGGAACACAGGTGTGTACCATAATGCCCAGCTGTTCGGGCAAACTTTTCATTGTATTTTTTTTTCTATTATGTCATTACTATTACTTTGCTTATCAATTTTTACCTTACTTCTGGTTTAATGACATAATTTGATATTCTGAATCTAAGTTGATACACTTACTAAACATAACAATTCTGAGAAGACCTTGGATTTAATTCCTTCACAATCTATATTTTTGATAAAAAGGGAACATTTCTTACAGTTCTTAGTGTGGACTCCTAATTCTGGTCACTATTTCATGAATGAAAAATGAAGTGTTATTAATTAGGTGGCTGTATCTCTCTTCATCCCAATTTTATAATATTTAGAAAAATATAATAATATATCTCGTGCTTTTCCAGCTAATAGAATAAAGCAGGGAGTGTTGTATACTGTTTAAATTAGAGGTTCTGCCTAGATTCGGATGCATATGGTTTAAATCTAAGCTGAACAATCTTTAGCAAGTTACCAAGCTTTCTTGCCCAGGTTTCCTCATTAATGGAGATTTTAGTAGCATCTACATGCAATGAAATAATGCATTTGATCAGTCCTTTAAAAATTGCAATAAATGATAGTTTATTTACTTATAAACAATGGCTCAATAAGTGATAATGACCATTATCACCATCAGCAAATAGATATAAAAACAAGCAAAACCATCTTTTCTTCCCTGAGTCGAAATGCTACGAACATCTGTCTATTTTACTTTTTCAAAATAGAGCAAAAAAAATCTGAAATAACGTTTCTAGGTAACTAGTTATCGTCTTGCGTGGATGTTAATTCACAGGCCCTAATCCAACTAGCTTTGCTTGTACATAAAAAGACACAATGTAGCTAATTTTTCTACAGCATCGTAGTAGCTAGTAAATACTTGAAAGACATGTAATTTTCAAATTCCACTCCTCTAGAAATTGCTTTCCTCAGATGAGTTCTCCAAAGCATGTGGAAAATTCAGAAAGGGGAAGAGGAAACCTAGAGAGCACAGATACTCTCCTGCTGAGACTCCCCACCCCAAAAATGCCAAGCGGAATCTCTCAAGCGAGTTTGCTAATCAGCCAGAGCAACCTGGGCCCCCTGTGGATGCCTGGGTCCTTCAGACGCTTGGGTTGAAAGACTTTAACACCATTGACGATGCCAGATCAGCTAACTGCAGTGCCCTCTCCGCTCCTCCTCAAGGGGTCACCAGTACCTATTCCCACTTTCTGGGTGAAGCGGTTGACTATGAAAATGTCCCCAGAGACAACCTGCCCCACGACTATGAAGGTGAAAGAGCAGCCCTGCTGCACCGTACTGCCAGCCCCGGGGAAGATCTTCACTACTTTTCTCAGCCTCCCCATCCCCCGGTGAGGGTCCCAGTGCTTCCTTATCACGACGCGGATGTGTCACCCAACAAGACAGAGGTGGCCTTTTCCGCGTCACTGAGCCCTCACTGCAATGTGAAGACTCATTCCTTTCACCAGGGACAAGCTTTCGTGCGCAGAGACGAAGAGGGAGGCTGGAGGTTTACTTGGGTCCCGAAGCAGTCACAGTGACCCTTGTGGTGAAGCGCAGAGCAGGGCCACAAACTCCGCCTCCCAGGACAATCTCTTGCACTTGAATATGTCCGTGTGGAACACCGAAGCTATCGTCCACAGTCTCTCCTGCTGTTGTAAAAGTTACTCACGGTTACCTGTTTCGTTCTGTAGGGAATGGCTTCCAAGACTTTATAAGGAGAGGTATCTTCTCCTCTTTCACCTAAGTTTGGTTTGTTTACACACTCGTACCTACAGTGGACTTCCTCTCTTTGCCTTATACTTGAAACAATAGTTTCCGATCATTGAGGGGTTTCAAATTTTAGATTTACTTTTCCAGCTGTGACCAGTTTAACAGCTTTTCTTCATTCATCGAACAATTTATTGTTCATCGCCCTTTCATTTTTTTCTGCCTTTTCTGTTCCTCTGTTCTTGCTGAATATTGCCTTTAGAATGAACCCTGGTTTGGTCCAAATAGTTGGTTAGTGCTCAAATAGCTGGGGTAGGGTACACACGAGTATCTGTTCATCATCCACACTTCAGAAGACACTGTGTGGACGTGAGGGCCCCTATGTCCAGGGCAGTTGGAAACGGTGAATGTCCCATAGTGGCACAGGGAAAATATTTCTTAAACCAACCATAACGTCCCTAAAAATCAATGCCATTGCTAAATTATAAGTTACTTTGAAAATGCCCCACTGTATATCAGCTTGTACTAGCACTTGACATCTTTTTTGCTTAATCAGAATGGCTCAAGTAGGTTAATTTTTGAGTAATAGTGGTGACAAAGCAAGTCACCACCTTAATCTACACAGATACTGTCAGACAAACTATTATTCCTCGAAGCGTAGTCTTGCGTAGCTGGGCTACGAATATGATTGTACTCATTTGATCCTGTATGCCTCCATCCACCATCTCACTGGACAGATCTGTAGAACGCCTCGTATTTACACTCTGTGCCAGGCACCGTGCTATGGGAAGGGGATAAGCTGTGAGTGATCCAGACCCTGTGCCCCCACTCATGAAACCTGGAGCAGTTTCTCCACTCTCCACCTTGAGAAAGCTGCTTCCCTTGTGTGGAAGTTCAGTTTTCCTAGATGAATAAGGCAGTAGGGTGAGATGATGAGTCACACCCTGTGAATGCAGACAGGATCACCTCAGCTTCACTCTAGGGGTAGGAATTCCAGGCCACCCTTCCCTGTTGTTTTCATAAGAACCTCGGCTACTATGTAGGGTGAACTTTACATGCCATTTTTAAAAAACGTGAGCCATTTGTAGTTAGCATTAGAAATCTTCTCTTCCTACAGCATTCTTGTTGCTACTAGGAGTTCATTTTCTCGATCAATTGAGTCTGTGTGAAGGTAACTTACATCTGAAATAGATGTATATTAATTTTTAAGTAAGTGTTCATAGATTGAAAGTAACTATTGATATCAAGGGTTCTTCCTTTTCTAAATTTAACAAAAATGTTTTTTATTTTTTGTTTTTGTTTTTGTTTTTTTGAGATAGGTTCTCACTATGTAGTTGAGACGGCCCTGGAACTCACTGTGTAGCCCAGGCTGGTCTCAAACTCACAGAGATCCTCCTGCCTTAGCCTCCCGAGTGCTGGGAAGGTGTGTGCCACCATGTCTGGCTACAAAAATGTATTCTTTTTTTTTCAGCTTTAATTGAGTTTATTGGTACATTTTAGGGATACAGTACAGTTACATTCATTGTTGGGGTCTTGTACCTTTACATGACAGGTCTTGGTTCTCATTTTTAAGGGAGAGCAGGCACAAGGGGAAAAAATGAGAACAAAGGGCAAAAATGTATTCTTCATGCTCCTGCTAGTCCTTCTCTCCCCTCCCTAAAGCTCCCTACCGTTCCCAAGAGAAATTACACATCAATGATGTGCACCTGTGCTTTTCAGACCAACCCCATTTAATGATGAAGCCAACCATGGTGAACCCTACTTCCAATTTTATCTTTCCCATTTCCTGTCAACTTACCTTGCATGGTTGAAATTTCATATGTGTATTGCTTGGAATTCTAACAGACATTCCTGTTTTTGTTTGTTTTTGCTCTTCATAGTTTCTTTACTTTGGTCATGTGAACAAAGTAGCTATTTAATTTTTTTTTTTTTTTTTTTTTTTTTTTTTTTTACTTGCACTTGCGAAGCAGGCCACAGAACCACTGAGCTAAATCTCCAGCCCTAGAAATATTGTTTTGCTGTTCAGTTCTCTTTCTAATCCATAAAAGAAAATTCAAAATAGTAGCTCATAATATTCTCTAGGGTATTTTCATGGCTTGGAAAAAGTTAAAGCCGCATTCTATTTTCTCAACAAAAATTAAAAGAGCTCCTTTTACAGTCTAGTATCTCTGGCCCTGGTAGGTGAAATTTTTCTCCTTTTAGAAAAACAAATTTAAGAATTAGAACTGGGTGTGCTCTACTACACTAGTAACTGAATAAACAATGTAACAATTTTGAAAGGATAATAATCAAGCTGTAAAACAAAATTGATTAACACATTTATTTTGCATTTTGGTGTACCACATTATGTGTTAAGCATCATGAGGATGTATCCAGGTTCAGCTCAGTGTGATTGGTACATGAAACAAAGCCACATAAAATGCCACAGCTTTTGAGAGCTTCTAAATAAAACTTGGTCTCAGTCTGCTTTAAAGAAATTATGGAGCATTTGCATGGCAAATTGTGACAATTTGTTCTGGCTTGTATTATAAAACACACCATGGAAGAGAATTAGTCCACATTCTTTCAATCATATCTACAAACATTGGTTTTTTGCTTGAATTAGGTATAGAAAATTATTTTGTTGCTATTCGAGATATTAGAACTTTCTTTCAGCTGAGTGTATCTTCTACCATTTATGATTTTTTGATTCTCCAGTAAATCACAGTTAATATATTATAATAAAGTGGGAAATAAAAACTAAATGCTTTTTGACTATGATAAATATTTCTATATTGTGCATAACTTTTTCTAATAATACATTTTCTCCTCTGTGGCATAACCATAATCTTATTTATTTGTACTTTTTCATATGATATATATGGCCACAATATTAATATATATGCAGCATTAAAGGTTTAATGCTTCTTTCTTTTCTCTGTGACAATTAATGAGGCTTTCAGATATTAGGTTGCTTAAAGGGTCAGGTGACTTAGGAGTACACCATTCTCTTTTCCAACTTCACTTGAAGATTAGAAGACAGTATCAATTTTTGAAATTTCTTTTCCAATGTGCTCTAACCACCTGAAAACAAATCACTCTTGCATCTCACTAATATCTCAAAAACAAGACCACTGGTAAGCCTCAAGTATGCACATGACCTTTAATGAGTGAGATTATTTAGTACTTCATGACACTAAACTATAATTTTGAAACATTTGAAAAAAAGAAATTACATATATCAAAACAAAAGATTGCTTAACTTAATCTAATTCAAGAAAATAGAAATTTTTAGGTGTGACAAATGGACTCAACAACAAAATTTATCTATATATCACAGGTACATCAGAAAGCAAAGAGTTAGTAACCTGGTGATAAATTTTTATACATCTTACTTTCTGCCTGTGAAGTTAGAATGTATGTATATGTATTTGTTGCAGTTTACCAAAAGATTCACGAAAGGTTAAATAGCAAATACCTTTTCTATTTGTTTTTATAAATTAAACCAAATAGATTTGGTTTGCAAACTATAAATATATGATATAATTGCATTTCTTAATGCAGTTTTCATATTTTAACTACATTTTTGTTACAGGAACATAAACATTCATTCTTATATCAGGTATTTTACAAGTATGAGATATAACTTAACACTTAATATTTTCAATGATGTGATTTATTTGTGATTTGTAATGTTTCAAATTATATGAGTCAATTTTGTAATGAGTTTACAACTAATAAAGATTTGACCAAGCTTATTTAATCCCATTTGGCCATTATTTTCGAAGTATTTTTCAGTGAATGGAGCAGTGGACACAGGAAAAGTGTTCTGTAACAATTTATGCTATAATTTGATGTCATACAATATATATTTTCATTTTCAAATGTGAAATAGTAATATGATTATTAACTGAGCTACTTGTATTCAATAAATGTAGCCTTTCATTGGGTTCTACTGTTATATAAAAATTAAATACATGTTAAAAGTAACTAACCTATCGAGAGAAGTGTAATTTAAACTTGCTTAAGCAAAGAAAAGGAATATTTTGTGCCTATAATGGAGAAGACTACTTGGAATATGGTTGAATCTATGTGCTCAAGACATGTTTTGAAGAATCTGGTTTAGGATTTCATGGGAGCCTATGGTTGGAGTGGACGCTTGCATTTTTGAGAAGATGGTATTTATATCAGAAAAGCATGACACAGACCAAGAAGGACAAACTGAGGTATAAGGCAGATGGCATAGAGTAATTCATTTTGTGACATTCTCCATGTCTTTGTCATTTGTAAACCCTCCCCAAATGACAAAATGTGTCATTTAAACATTAAAATCATGCACGGAGAATTATGCATAGATGAGGATTTCTGCATCCGAACATTATGAGCAGGATTTTCTGGAACCAAGATCTTGGCCATATATCCAAAAGGCCAAGATTAACATCAAAAGAAAATGGTTTGTTACTTGCAAATTAGCCCTTTGCTAATATTCATAACTAAGACTATAGTACTGTTATAATACTATTATTAAGGCCATTAATACTAACAATGAAGGCTAGGATGTTTGAGGGTTTATCTTGGAATAAGCTGTCCTTATACCTCACTCCTTCTAAGTAACCCTTAAATCTGGAAGTAATCCAGTTAGGTTTTCAGAAACTTTTTATTAGAATGAGTTAGGTACCTTGAATTTCATTTGATAAATGATAAAACTGGTCTTGCATTTTATATATGTCACGTGATAATAACTAGGTAAGGCCCAAAGAAATTTCAGGCACGAGTTGTAGGTCTAGTGTTCTCTCTACTATGACATGTAATGACTATTTGGGGGGCCAGAAATTTGCAGTCCACTTGCTCTTCTTGACTATTACAGGTGTCAGATTCACAGCTTCTGAAATTATGAAAGAGCCCTTAAATCTTCATCTTGCTTTCTTTAGAGGTTTATTCTAGGGCTTAAAACTTCCACCACTGCTAACAGAGACTGTTCACAAGGGACTTGATCCTTTTTTGCATAGTGTTCCATTTTCCGAACAGCAAATAACATTGTAATGTTGTATCAGTTTCTTTTATTTTGTTGCCGAGACAAAATATTTTACACACAATGTTAGTGGAGGAAAAGTTTATTTGGCTCACAGTTTGTAGAGGCATCAGTTCTTAGTTGGCTGGCTCAAAGGAAGAGAGCGGCACATGACAGTGGGATGTCACAGAGGAGAAACAGTTCATGGCAGGCAGCAGGCAGAAGGCAGCAAATAGCAAGAGATGAGCAGCAAGCAACAACTCTCTTTTTGTCCCTTATATCTTATCCAGCACACCCTTAAGGCAGATAGCACTCACACCCAGTGTGGGGCACCCATAATCCTATCCAGAACTATGCCAAGCCAGGCAGTACACTGGTTTAGTAATCACACATCCTTTATCCCAGCATCACACACTCCAGATCCAGCCATCTCTGAGAAGCCCCACCTATGACCACATGTGGCTTTGGAGAAAGAGATATAAACCATAACAAACATAATAAGTTTTTCTCTTCAAATTCTGTCTCCTCAATTTTTCTAGGTTACATATATGAATTCCTTATAAAAAAATTTAAAAGTTGCAACCTTAAGCATAAATGGGTTAATCCCCCAGCATTTCAAAGGAGAGCAATGCATAAATTAAGTCCCACTTCCAAAAATGTAGGCTGAGGAGAGTAGGGATGGCAAAATATCTAAACATAAGTGACAAAGCAGAGGAGAGTGGTATAACCTATAATCTCAACACTGTAGGACACTGAGGCTGAACCATTTCAACTTTGAGCCCAGCACCGGAATCTTAGTTACTAAGTGAGAAAAATTAAAAGAGGACAGGGACTGTATCTCAGTATGAACAGAACTGTGAATCTTTAATGCTATGAAAACAAATAAGATCAACATCATGATCAAGACAATTGATATATTTCTAAGCGAAACAAAAAGATAAAAGGGAATAAATCTCTCTCCAAGTTACCACTACTGATATTAAAGCCTAAAGTAGCATTTTCCAAAAGTGATCGTGCACAATGATATTTGCAATCCTGAGTCCACTTAGTCTAATAAAGTGGAGGTAGTCTGTCCTCAGTCTTTGCAAATCAAGGGT